GTCCATCAAAAACTAAATATATCTGGAAACTGCCCCAACACATCTATGCACCAAGTTTTATTAAAACACATTAAATGGTTCTCAAGATATCACCAAAATAGCCTAAATATTGGTATGTAAATTAGGCAATTTGCATAATTTTCCACCAAAATCAATCATGTCTATACACATTTAAATATGTTGAGTGATTATGTTTTCATTACAATCACAATAGACCAATCAAAAAAAATCTAGAACTCCCATGTGCTATGTGAGAATGAGAAACAGTTGACATTGGAAATAGTGGTTAGTTGAAATTCCATTTTTAACCAAAAATGACAAAAATATTTGCCAAAATTAGGGAATTGAAGATACGACCATGGGATGAACAATTCTAGTAGATGTCAACACAAGGTACATACACACCAAGTATCAAAGCATTCAGGCTACTGGTTTTGAAGAAGAAGTAGAAAATAGAATTTTTGACCAAAAATGACCATTTTAAAATATTCGCCAAAATTAGGAAATTGAAAATTTCCTTAACCAAATAAACAAAACTGATAGAGAACAACCCAAGGCACATGCACTATCAATATCAGCACTATAGACCACTTAGTGTCATAGTAGCATAGAAGAAATTTGGGGGGCTGATTTGCATAATTTTTGGCAGATCGACTTCTGATGAACGAATTATCATCTACACTCATCAAGGTGAATGTTTGGATTACTAATGTATGTACCTTATCTTGAGATAGCTGACTATATCGTTTTCAGTTTTTCCTCTCTTGTTTTGAAACAGTTCTCTATGTATTTTGCTATTTGTATTATTGTTTTCTTATCTTTATTATTTATAACATATTTTAATTTTTCTTTATTTTTTGCTAAATGTGGGGGAGATAACAGCTGATAAAGCTTTATCTTTCTCCCACATGGAGATCACATGTTAACAGAAAATGTTATTCTTTCTCTATGACGTTCTTTTCACAACATAGACATTTTCTGTCAGATATATCTGTGTTGTTATATCTCCCAGTCTCTATTTGTAGTGTGTGAGCGCTAATCCTCAATTTTGTGATGAGTATTTTTGACTACGTGTAAGTAGTTTTCAATGCCAAAGTCTGTTTTCCATTCTCTGTAAGTGCGCAATTTATTTTTGTGATTTTTCCCTTTGTATTTAGGCTGTAATAGATTTAAATAGCAGCCAAATGGTTTGGACTCTCCCACCACCAAAACATCACCCAAGGTGAGGTATCAGACAAATACGGTATATTGTCATTGTTACTGCTTTCAATAGATGGTTCATGATATTTTTGTTGGTATTTTTGGGGTCAACAATAGCTACGAGTTTGTCAAAGATTATTGAAACATAAAATAAACTAATGCATATACCATTATATTGTCTTTGTACCTATCTACACCAAAATCAGTAAAAGAATGTCTGAGAAATGGTTAAGTATACAATAAATAAACACCAGTTGGCCATTTTGAATCAAACTGACATGCATCACTAACCCACCATGAGTTATGTCAATCGGTTCAGTCATGCTTGAGGAACTGTTGATGTTCATGTTCAAATGTTGATTTTTAGTTATTTTATTTTTATTTTGAATCAAATCAAAAAATAAGCAGAACGGACAAAATTCGAAACACAAATCTCTGTTTATTTTCAAAGTAACCATGAACCCTGTGAAAATGAGATGAGTTTGCAGGAACTCACTGCATCCTTTGATAGAAGACGATACTGACAAATGGAAGGAAGTCCGTTATCATTTTGTACCTATTTTTACATCCATTCATGTTGCATCTCTGATATAGAATAATCATGCACTGTGTGTTATCGTACAATATTAAGTATACATAAAATTTGAAACAATAATCAACAATATTTTTTTTATTAAGTGCCACAATAAATTGTGAAGTTTTAAAGCAAGTGAAGTCCTTGATAAATTGTAGTAAATAGTTTTTCATGCAAAGTAACACTTTAATTTACAACTCAACATCAAACCTGCTAGTTATTTCAATAGTCTAGAAAAGTAAATGTTTATTTCTCTTATAAAACTGGGGTTGTTTATTATTTCTTTAATTGGAATTTAAGAATCTATATTTTTTCTCCCAAGAAAATTACCAAGGAAGTAGGCAAATATTGCACACACAAAAAATCCAAACCAATCGCCTTAATTCAATTCACAGGTGAGTGAAAAAAAGGTCCTTGTACTTTGCAGTATTGTGTTATAATAGTACTTGAGTGAGAACGTTTGGGATGTAAGGCTCAGATACTCAACACATTACAATTGTCAGGTATAGCACATCAAACTACAAAGAAGAAGTCATAAAGTCTGCCCTCTAGTGGCCATACACATAAAATCTGCACATCATCAAACACTTCAAGGAGATGTTGTACGTGGATACATGTGAAATAACTACAGCCACAGTCACAGGACCAGAACTGCCAATGTTGTGCTGCTGACATGGTGGCTGTCTTTGATTCAGTCTCACAATGTAATTAAGTTTAAAATAAATTACCTGATCAAAAGCTGGTTGTAATATCAACATAGTTTGCCAGATTCTTTGCTTGATTCGATGCTGCATAGAATTTAACTGATATTGTTTACGCATTGCTGTCACGGCAACTGACTATCAACAAGAAAAAAATCACTTGAAACATAATAATTGAATGAAACTGACAGATGAATGGCCCACTCTCCACGCAAGAAGGCGCTTCTTCAAATCACCTCTGCCACAGCTTGATTATGGATTTATGCAAATCAAGGGTCATTGTTAGGGTCAAACCCAAACTATATTTGAATATGGCAGAGTTTGCAAGAGCTTTAAAACGTATTCTGAATGAATACAATTCTGACGTGGAATTGAAACCAAAGAAGGTTTTAGTTATGGAAAGTGTATGGGAAGAGAAAGATTTAATAGTTTCCTTTCCAACTGGGTATGGGTTGCTGTCTTTAATAACCGAACACCTGCATATTGATATGTGGCAAATCATAGTGTGAAAAGTCATGTGTGGCAGAGATGTTAGGCTGCCTGCGCTAAGAACTCTAGAATGGAGAGTAAATGGCCATGTAATGGTTGCAAAATAAAAATAAAGTGACAAAACAGGACACATGCATATTAAAAAAACAGTGATAATCTGATCAAATAATCTACAGAACGCTCATAGTCAAACAGGAATATAATAATTACTCTCAAAAACCAAGCACCAGTAAATGTAATCTACAATTGATACAGACCTTATCCAATAAACTATCTGCTAGTTTCTTCACAAGTAACGGCAGATTAGACGGCTGTCTTTGTATTAACAGAGAGAGTGTTGTAATGGCTAATACTCTAACATGGTTATCAGGTTTCCGCATACTAAATATTAAAACAAAGAAAACAAATGTGTAATGAAACATAAACAATCTAAGTAATATATTTCCTCTATTAACATTATCATCATCACAAGCCTTATACATGTGATAGACACCACTGACAGCTCTCAAAATTGCACGTGGTAAGAGTTACTAGCACCCTAAAGATGCTAAGTTTATAAAAAAGAATTAGCATTTTGCATCTTTACTTTGTTTACTCATCACATCATTTAGTCTGTCCGGGTGTTGCTGCCATTGAAATTGAAATACTACATATATGCCATTAAACTGCTATTTGTCTATTGCGTTCAATGTGATTTTTCTCCCATGTTCAAGAGATGCTCAATTGAATTTGACATCACACAGACTGATATCATCGCATATAAACATACAGATATATTTCCTACCTCTGCAGCATTTCACTGGCAGGTTTACCATCTGAATTCTTAGTCAATATTGATAAAGCTTCCTGGATAACTCTGAAGATGAACCATATAATTTGTTAGTTGATAAAAGAATGTAAAATGACAACTACATAATCTCTGTAAGAGTAATGGGTTCATAGAAACACTGTGCAAATTATTTTTTTCTTTTCTGAATGATTTTGCTGTAAATATTAATTTTGTAGGGCTTTCCCCCATCAGATGTGTGTAAAGTACTTTTTTTTTCAATGTTTATCTCCCTCCCCCCTGAATTGTAATGGTCAACACTTGTGTTTTAGTGATGTTTGTGAGGATCACACAAATGAACATATCTACATCTTTGCACTTAATAGAATTGGTTGCACTAGGAGATTGATACTAGCACACTAGCATAAATTTCCATGGTGCATCAACTAATTAAACGTGATGTAAAAAACAGACTAAAACTGATCAAAATGTACATGATTTTGTTGTCTCTTAGACAAGCAAGAATTTGTGGGATTCATTAATTTTGAGTTTATAAATAAATTTTCTCATGTAATTAAAATTACATTTCTACTTGTAACATATGCAGAATACCTCCCATGTATTGTTGTGATCGCAAAGACAAATAATAATAACAGTTGGTTTGACCAAAAAAATTATAAAATATTGGAGGACTGAAACACATGGTTTTGCAAACTTGATGTAAGCCATACTACACGACAAAGGCATGATGAAATTCTACAATAAGATTGTGTACTTAACCTCAGTACTACATTATAGCTGGAATTAATTTTCGCTGAAAAGACACTATGGCTGTTTTGTATGACATGATTTTCAAGACATAGAAAACAATTTTTGTTTTCATTGATACATCCTTTCAGTGAAAATAAATTGCAAGTGAAAATATAGTAGTTTTAATTACAGTATGCGATTGGAAGTATCTCTGAGGCATGGATTAACAAAGAGGGCACACTTTAATACACAATCATCATAATCTGTCAAGGTAATAGTGGTGTTGGAGAAATAAAATAAACAAAATAAAACTTGGTTGGCTAAGATGATTGCAAGTATAGATTGGGAATAAGAAAGTGTTGCCTACTATTTACCTATGGTCTTTTCTCTGTATAGGTCCAAAAATACAAGCTTCTACTAAGAGTTCTACATGGTTCAGGATATCCTTTGTAGTGTCTGTGGTTGTTGATAATAAATACTCACAATATTTCTCAATAAGTATGTGAAGCACACCGGATTTGATTTCAGCTAATTCAAAAATGTTTCTAGAAATCTGCAAAATACCAGAAAACAGATTTTATTCTTGATTGAAATAAAATTTATATCCTGCACAAAATATCCAGTTGACTAACAAGTTTTAGACATATTGATTCTGTAATGGTATCTTGCTGCATTCACAGAAAGAGTGAAATTAGTAGCATAAATAATACTCACATCAGTGACTGCCTTGTATATATCTGTCATAGGTGGTGAGGAGAGAATACAATCCTGGAATGCCATGTCAGTGTATTTCTCAATTACTTGCCAGAACAAAGCGGAATCTGCTCGTATATCGTAAACCATACTCCAAGTCACATTCATGCATTCTACACATACACTTGGTTGTACATTAATCACCTGAAATGTACAACATATATTACTACATAGTGTTGGGTTTACATCAAGGAATGTACAACATGTATTACTACATAGTGTTGGGTTTACATCAATCACCTGGAATGTACAACATATATTACTACATAGTGTTGGGTTTACATCAATCACCTGGAATGTACAACATATATAACTACATAGTGTTGGGTTTACATCAATCACCTGAAATGTACAACATATATTACTACATAGTGTTGGGTTTACATCAATCACCTGAAATGTACATATTACTACATAGTGTTGGGTTTACATCAATCACCTGGAATGTACAACATATATTACTACATAGTGTTGGGTTTACATCAATCACCTGGAATGTACAACATATATTACTACATAGTGTTGGGTTTACATCAATCACCTGGAATGTACAACATATATTACTACATAGTGTTGGGTTTACATCAATCACCTGGAATGTACAATATATATTACTACATAGTGTTGGGTTTACATCAATCACCTGGAATGTACAACATATATTACTACATAGTGTTGGGTTTACACCAATCACCTGAAATGTACAACATATATTACTACATAGTGTTGGGTTTACATCAATTACCTGAAATGTACAACATATATTACTACATAGTGTTGGGTTTACATCATGCACCTGAAATGTACAACATATATTACTACATAGTGTTGGGTTTACATCATGCACCTGAAATGTACATATTACTACATTGTGATGGGTTTATATCAATCACCTTGAATGTACAACATATATTACTACATATTGAATAGCTCATACATATGTTAATTTTTCACACAAATACCAATTTATACCTACATACACAAATTTGTCTAGACATATACTAATTTGTCTCAACATATGCTAATAAATGATTTGCCATTCAACTGCGAGATCTCGCAAATGGGTTGAAGACAAGCGCCAAACGTCTGTCATAAAAATCAAATGCTTTGATTTTGAACTTGAATGACCAATCTTTGACAGGGGAATATTGTGTTTCAATACCATCATCAAATGCATGGAGATATCCCCCAAAATACTTACATTTGTTGAATCCCATTTGATGTTTGTCAACACTACGATGCTATGATCCTTGTTTATCCTGTTTTTACGTTCGATTTTAAGTATAACCCATGATCTCCCAGTGAACAGAATTTGTCTCTACATATGTTAATTTGTCTCCACATATGCTAATTTGTTTCCACATATGCTAATTTGTATCCACACATGCTAATTTGTCTCCACATAATGCTAATTTGTTTCTACATATGTTTATTTGTTTCTACATAATTTTATGTTCTTTTGTCTCCATATATGCTAATTTGTCTCTGCATATGCTACAAGTTTAGTTCAGTGACAGTTTAACAAGATAGTGGTTGATAAAATATCATATAGATTACCTACCCTTTTTATCAACATGTTCATGGAATCAATCAAGGGTAATACTGCTGTCCCACCAACTATACTGAGCACATCCAATGCTTCCCCCAGCAATGCAACACATCTTTCAACACTCCAAGATGAACCATAGTTGTGCTCCAAGAAGAAAACACAATTCCATTTTTTCTCCTCGAATAAAGATATCAGCTTTCCAAGATCTTGTTTACTGACTTCCATGTCACCAACTGGTCTCTCAAATCGTTGATTCAATCGGATATCTGTGAGGTTCTTTGTAATATTAGAAGGAATATCACCACCTTTGTCTCTCAGTCTGCCATAGTGACTGCACACACAGTACAGACAATTCATACCAATGATTTTAGGTATTTGGCATTCACTGGATTTGTCCTATCGAGGAAAACAATATTTCATTTAATTTCATTTGTCTTTTTTAAATGTTAATTCAATATTCAAAATAAGCCCCTCAGTGAAGAAAACTGACAAATATCAGCTACAAGCCTATTCACAATTGTATAAAAATACAATGATTTAGACCTTGAGAAATCAAACATAAATATTTCATTTTACGAAGGCTTTCGTAAATCCAGTTTTGTGTATACAGTAAAGATATCATCAGTGAAGCTGAAAATTCAATGAAAACAGGACAATTATCATTTTGCAAGGTCTGGTTTTTTGATAAGAGAAATAAGAAGGTAAATGTTACCTTTGAACACCACAAATTCATATGATAGTGCAATCTGTGATGAACAGTACCAGATACGTGTACCTGCATTCATTATTCTTAGCACAAACACTGAAAGTTAATAACCAGCTTGAAATCAAAAGATGCAACAGAGTGAGATGTCTTCATAATTACCTACCTGAGTTGTCTCTGTGTTCAATGTATCTAATGATATTTGGCTCATTTTATCTAGAGTACGTTGTAATGTATACATAGTATGTTCACCAAACACACCACACTGACTCAATTCAGATAATACATCTATGATTTCTACATATACATTTAACTGTATAACATCAGTTAAATTATTAGTTTCCATGGTGATTTTTCTCATTATGTATGCAAGAGTTTCCTCAAGACTTGTTTCAATGATGTTGACTATCACCATAACGCTCTGGTCTATATAAAACAACAAGAGTAAAATTATGTAAGCGGTTAAACTAGGCCAAGTCAAAGAAACAAAAACCAGAGAATAAGGTTGGGCAGTCAGGGACTGCTGACCATAATTTATTTGTAAGCGGATGAATGTGTGAAGAAAAAGCAACTGCACTGAAATCTAGAACACAATGTCACAAAGTATGTATAATTCAATGTCACAATAAAAATAATTTCATTAATAACTGATGTGGAGGATCATAAAACTTATAACTTACTGCTTATAAAAATAATTGCAGTTAAATAATGGATTTGTTATGTTCTGTTCATTGTCACAGAACATTGTGGTTATTTTAACAAACACATAAAAAGTCAGAATCTGAACTGTGGTTAGTTTGATATTTTACCTGTGAATGTCTCCGTCTGCTGCTTTGATCCATGGATTTCTCTGAGTAAAGCCAATAATAATTGTAATGTATGGTGTGCTTTCACACTGCATAGATATGCATGGCTGTTTAATTTACACAGTATACTATGCATTGGTTGTAATATCATGTGTAATGGTGTTGGGTAATCATCAGGGGAACCATCCAATACACCTCTAAACAGAGAAAAAAAAATCAACTATTAAGGCTGGATACAGTAGCACATAAATATCACTCAGTTAGACACAAGATGGACCCAGGATAACAGTGAATATGTAAATATTCAAGAATATAAAATTGTCAAGACTAAGTTATATTCTCTCTTCAGCTGTATATAATGGTTTACACAATGGTTGATTGGCGAATTACTAATGTGTAAAGTGTTATAATTGCCTGCTTTACCATCAACTTAACAAGTATGTCAAGATAAAGTCACCATTCTGAAAACAGATTATTTAAGGCCTGTGGTGTTACTGGTGTTAAAAGAGGTATTCTAATAATAGCGCTCTCTATTTTCTTTTAAATAAACCATTTGTTTTCAAATAATCTTTTGTGACTATAAACACAATTACACTGAAACTAAATTTTCCTGAACAAAAATGTTTACTTGGTTCAAACAAAATTTTGATGTCATTTTTGCCATTATCTCTTATTAAATTAATACTACAATGTATGATAATAAGGTTGTCACAAGAATATGGCAAAAGTATGCACTCGGGCAGTACAAGATAACATAGCATGTATGTATGTATTTTGAAATGGCAAAGTGCAAGTAGCACTAATCAGAAATAGTAC